GCACTATAGAACATGCATACATTCCAGATGGAAAGAAATCATCCACGAAGAAGTGGGTCAATTCTTGCTTACATACAGCTATTCAACATATCAGTGAAATAACGCATAAGTTGATTAGTAACTTCATTTCGCCATTCTCAAGCAATAAAAATGTCTTATCTCTGAAGCTGCAGTAACTATAAAAGTAGATGCTCATGTGATTTGCAAAGGGTTTTGTGGGTTTAGGTGCATTCATAAAACTTATCTAGAAACGTAAATTAGGGAAGACGTTTGTGTTAGTAAAACTGACAAGTTTTAATCTCAACGCGCAACAGTTTGGAAATAACCATTTTAAGCGTATAAATAAGGTTAACAATATATCAGTGCTTGTAAATCATCAGTGCTTAACAAAGTGCATATAATCAACAATCAATACGGAACTAATGATTTCAATTTGGCTCACTACTTGACTAGCCTATTGGTCCTAAGCAAATCGATTAACGTACCCCATTCCAGTCAAAATTCTAGTACTACACTATGTTTGTTTTGGTTAGATATGATAGTTTGACAGTTAAAATGAGGGGTTCGTGGATTTTCCTATGTTTCGAGGGATTTTCGATGCACCGATTAGCTTGGGACCGAAGATAGTACCAGAGCTGAGCCAAAAAGGTGAGCATTTTCTTCGGGACCTTCTGGTCTTAGAGTTACCTCTATGATATAATGCTTCAGATAGCCTTGTCAGTAAAGGCACGGTACCCTAGTAATACAAATTAATAGAATTATGTTCAGTAAACTGCTATACAACCAAAACCAGTCGTACAAAGGTTAAATAAACTGTTATGGTGAGCTTCGCACTAGTGTTCGGAAAATCATTCTCAAATCACATTAATTGAACCTCCCTGCGAGAATAAACTCACATGCGAATGCGGCAAACAAAATTCACACTTGAGATTCTCATGAAGATTCACGCACTTACACTCACGACGCCGAAAACCATTCCAGTTTTAACCTCATAAAAACCAGTCAAACGTCAAACTGGTCATGCGACACCTAGTTTTAGGATCCGTATTTACAAAAATTATGATGTAATAGAAAAAATTTCATGCAATTTGGCAGATTTCAAAACGTCAATATCATTTTCACTCAATTGCCATCTGTGGTGTCAACGCCAATTAGACTGAAAGGATTTTATGGAAAGGACGTGTGATGGTAAATGGTATTACAATGGTGACGATTTCTACAACGGTAGTGTGTGTTAATGTTAATACTTACACAGTCAAAGATGATTTATTACAGTCCACAGATTTTTCCATCGATGACACCTAAGAAATATGGAATAGAAAAATCATGCCGTTTAAACATTGTTGATTGAATTCTTGATTAGTGAGCGCTTAAAAGATAGCGTTCAAAAGCACGTTAAAGTTGTTCAAACACCTTGAAAACCTCACGAATAAAAACATGCCCCAGGCAGTTTTGTTAAAATAGCGATACAAAATTTTGAAAAAAAAAAAATCTAGACCTGCCTTCAGCATTGAATGAAAATAACCTAGACTCCCGCCTCCACTTTTCTCTATCGCTTTGCTCTTATTTCTATACAAAGGCTATAATTAGCAATGGAATTACAGATCAGCGTTGATCATATGACGGGGAAACTTCATCGCAGTTTCTTTACTCTGTGGCGCGAAAATAAGACCACATTAAATTGATTCAAATTCCGAAAGTAAATATCCCAAAACAAAGGTAGGAAAATTCCAATACGGATCGGTACTACCTGATTATGTTTACGGAATATTGTCTTATTATTGACTTTTTATCTTAAGTGTGTCACTTATGGGTAAAAACAGATTTATTTGAATATTTGAGTGATTTACCAGTAAATACCGTTTCAAGGAGTTGTCGAAAACAAGGAGCCCAAATGAGGACATGGAATCCGCATGTTTTAAATAAAGGGTTATTTGTTATTGTTGCATTTTCTGTTAGTGAAATTTATTGTAGCTGGCGTGTATAATTTACTGTTATTTAATGCGTATAATACTGTGTGTTGAGCTACTAACTTTCCCTGGTCCAACATTCCTCAAGATCAAACCTACTGTACAATGTTACGTCAAATATCTCGGTTCGTGGATGCTTGGCCTCCAGTCTTCTGGTATTTGGTTTAACAAACTAACTCACTATTATTGTTCTGTTTATGAAGTTTTTTTTTGTTTAAATAATTTTTGGCGAAAATTTGTATTCTTTTTTCACTGTCTCAGACATAATTTCGATTAGATTATCAGTTTTTGTGCGATGATTTATTGAAAAATATCGACTTTGCCAGTTTGAAACATTCGGCGTTAGTCGAAATGGCCGTATTTATTCCAGCATAAACTTGGTTCATTGCCCGTTCAATATCCTTAATAAAAATGTTATGGTTATTTTGCTTAACGAAGTGTTTCAGGGTAAATGTTCTAGTGGAGTTTCTTTAGCTGTGGTATGGGACTTTCGCTCAAATGGTTTTTAAACGCTTGAATAAATTATTTTACACCTATATTTGCTTTTTTGGAATCCTTTTGTTTTGGTTTCCTCTATTATGGGAACCGAAATTGGCAACATCCACAACTATAAAAATTAGTGCTTATTAATGGATGACGATTATAATAATGTTCTTTGTAATTAAATCATAAAGTAATAATTGTCCAGTAAAGAACATGATGGTGATGATATGTAACTACCACTCACTGTAGCAAAACAACTGTCAGTATACTGAGGATTATCCTCGTTGTTCGAGTTGATCAAGTTTAATAACCTCTAATTGTAATCAACCTGCCATTGTATAAAGGGTCAAAACGGTTTGGGTGAATCCGTGGGCAACGTCGTCCACATGCATCCAAGGGATAAATGAGAATCTCCTTCCAACAACAGGATCATACAACCGGTCAAAAACACGCCATCCAACAGGAGGACGCCCCAATAATTGGGGAGAAGAGCCCGCCCTCTATTCACGAAATGTTGAAGACAGGGAGTTGGCATTTCTACTCTCCCCATCGATTTCGCTTCAATCGGGTGCTCTAGTGGACCCTCCCGTATCCAGCATATAATATTTCACATAATAATGGAATGAAGGTTAGGGGAAAAATAAAGGAAACATCTCACCCGATATGTTGCAAAGGAATCCATGACATTACGATGATTTCGCTGCCGCTACCGCTTTTTCATCAACCAGTATTAAAATAGCACTCTCGCCTTTCCTTACTCACACAGCAGCGGAAACCCCCAACAACCACGAAACACACACTAGCTGGTTCTACTAGAAGGATCTCGGCAGAGGCAAAAGGATTGCGATCTCTTTCCATCACCTATCACTCGCGACATAACGCCTTCAGTTCATCAGTACACAGCCCCTCATCGGCCGAATAAACTCGCGACCAACGCCGAAATCAGAACCGACAACTCAGAGCTTGGCATGAGCTGAAATGCTAACGTTGAAAGCCAAACGCGAATTAATTAATTTTCAAGTCAAGTATAGTACCTTTATTTCTATCACTCCAACCCTGTTTGGAATTTTGTGTAAAGAAAGACCTGAGTATAAATACAGTGTATCCAAAATTGAGCGTACACCCTAATTGATTTTTTTTGGCGCATTATAAATTGATATATTTAAAAAAATCTTGGCTGGTGGTTAAACAGATATCTATTGATTTTTCGCTATGGACTTTATTGGAAGAACCTGTATGAAGTTAGATTTATTTTTGTAAAACACTCGATATTTAGCTTTTTACCTAGTGGATGAATTTTAGAAAAATTAGTGGAATAATAATGATCGTTATTATGACTAAAAGTGAGCAAGATTTCAAGAAGTTTAGTTCATTGAGTTTCAAGATATTAAAGTATTTTAAGAAAAAAGTGTTTTCGTCAAACAGCTCTTACTTTTAATAAACGCAACCAAATAAGTCCAGGACTCAGTGTTCACTCGGCTCTCGACAAAAGCAGGCTACTCTCGATGTGTGCCACGCGATCGTCTGTTTTCTGGGCAGCAACCATTGTGTGGCCCTCCTCATTGTTCTTCATCAGCAGTTCTTTCGGTCGATGCGTCGTCGACTTTGGAAAGCAACCGTTTCGTGATGAGTGTGTGAGTGCTGACCACGTTTTGCGTCCATTGCTGCAATGGACGCGCTCTGACCCTCGTTGGCGTACAACAATTTGGCATACAATGAAACTACTGGAAGCGGCTCCAGTTCTGATGGAGGATGCTTTTTGGATAGCGGAAGATAAAGTGTTTATTGTGTTGTACCTTTTGACTATAGTTTTAAGATGTTTTGTATAGTTACCAAGAACCCTCGGCTCTGTAAAGTTAATTCGGTTGAGCCTAATCAAATAAATTAATGAACAAAAAAAAAGTCCAGGACTGTACAAATAATTTATAAATGTATGATGATTCAGTAGCCAAAAATTCAGAAACTTATCTCTTCAAATTGGGCTTTTACAGCTGTTTTTTTTTTTTCTAAAATTTTATAACATCTGTACGCTCAATTTTGAGATACTCTGTATACATATAAATTGTAGTAAAATGAGCCCAAGTTTTGGAAGATGGATCAGAATCTGATATGGAACTCATTGCATTGTGCCTCATATCAATAAAGCCTACATGAATTCATATTAATCAGATATAGCCTAAACATTGTGAATTATTTTGCCATCATTGGGTACAAGCTGATTCGAATCGTCATTGATAAGACCGTGTAGGTCGGTACACAGCACGGTCAAAGTTCACTCTGGCGGCCATGTATTTATTGTATTAAACACGGTGTGCTGGGTGAGTTAACCGGCGTATGGAGGTATGGAGAGATACGTGTGAAATGCTATCTCCCAACCAGGATCGACACATTTTCGACAGTCGGCTTATCAGCGTAGATTTTTCCCTTATCAGTTCCTCTTTACCCTTTTCACCGTGTACCATGAACCCACTATATGTTGATGTGTAGCCAATTTCATTCGTACCGCCCAATTAAATGTTCCCTCTGTTTTTCATTGTTTATTTGCAGAAAGTCAGTTGATTGGATGTGCCGCAACCGGCAGAGTTGTTAATTCAGCAGTTGGCGTAGTTGCGCGGATCCTATGTCAACATCATGTCCAAAGTGAACGGGTTTGACGAGGCAATCGCCATGTAAGTTGAGCGAGTTTCCTGACTGAGATGAAAGTAATACTTCTGTTTATTATTTTCAGGGAGGCGAAAGTAGCATCTCCAAGGGTAGGATGCTGCTACCGGTTAGTGAAGTTCATGACGGTGTACTGGCGGGCGTTGGTAGTATTTTTAGCGCCTTTCCTAGCGGCTTCGGTTTTCACCATAGACACAACACCTGCCTACCGATGCATGTACGTAGTGCTGATCATGTCGATGTACTGGGTTACGGAAGCGATCCCTCTTCCAGTTACGTCGATGCTGCCTATTGTATTGTTCCCGTTGTTGGGAGTGCTCGAAACCGATAAAACCTGTATGATGTACATGAAGGAAACCATGCTGATGTTCATCGGTGGCATTATCATCGCTCTGGCAGTCGAGTACTGCAACTTGCATAAACGAGTGGCGCTGAAGGTCATTTCTTTGATCGGATGTAGCCAGAGGAGGTTGAATTTCGGATTGATCACTGTTACCATGTTTGTGTCGATGTGGATCTCGAACACAGCTGCGGTTGCCATGATGTGTCCAATTATGCAGGCCGTGTTGGAAGAATTGGAATCGGTAAGATCGGCACTGATGGAATGTGATTTCGGTTTCAAACGTATGATTTTCATTTGTAGCAAGGGCTGTGTAAAATGTACGAGAGATCAAAAAAGACTAGCGAAGAGGAAGGAATGCTTGGAAATGAGAAGCAATCTGATGAGTATGAGTTATTTAAAAACGCTAAACTCTTCCTGTACTGACAGTTTGATTTTCAACAGGCCACTGAAGCCGTCCAAGACGACAATCTGTTACTTTGTAGGAGCTGCCTACGCATCCACTCTGGGTGGTTGCGGTACCATTGTTGGATCTGGAACTAATCTTACCTTCAAGGGTATTTACGAAGGCCGTTTCCCGGATGCCCCGGGTATCGATTTCCCCAAGTTCATGTTCTACAACGTGCCTGGAATGTTGATCTACACCTTCCTGACGTGGGCCTATCTGCAGTGGCTGTACATGGGCATGTTCAGGTATTTGTCAAACTATACAATTTATTAGATCATCAACAATATATGACCTTCGATCACCGAACGTCCACAGACCGAACAGCCCCGAAGCCAAGGCCGCAGAAATCGGAAAGGAGGGTGAAGCCGTCGCCCGTAACGTCATCGACACCCGCTACAAGGAGCTGGGACCTATGACTTCCCACGAAAAGAGTGTTGCCTTCCTGTTCGTTTGTGCCGTTGCGCTTTTCTTCATGCGAAAACCTGGATTCATCACCGGTTGGGCTGATCTGCTGCCAGCTGTGTGAGTAATCGTGAAAGATTTTCCATCGGAACACATCTATTTATTCATTACATTTATTTTTTATAGCGATATCAAGGATGCAACTCCGGCAATGTTCATTGTCATTGCTCTGTTTATGATTCCTGCCAACTGGAGGTGCTTTAAATTCTGCCGAGGAAATCCCGGTAAGTAATTCTTTATTATTCAAATTACTTTTAACGGAAAAATTTAATCCGTGGCATTGTGCTACGCCTAAAACATATGTATCATTTCCGTTATCAAAATTATAGTTGTGTTCATGACAGATGCTATTATCAATTCAAAACCTTTCCACATTGCTGCTATTGTGACCAAGACCTTGTCTGGCTGTCTGGTAGAGCGAAACGTGAACATTATTCAAAGTTTATTGACATGGCTGAGCTTTCTTATCGTCGTTCGGCACGTGGTGAATTGTTTCTTGACAGTCAAATCGAGGTTTTGGTAGTTTATAGGGAAAATATATGGTCATGAACGTGGTAGCAAAGGCACCAAAGTATCTAGGATTTCTTAAGCACTGACGAGAAACGGTCGCTCGTTGGTTTGAATGCTGATTAATTTAGGAAATTGGTAGGAATGCTTGAAAAAAAAAATGACTTTGGTACATGCAAACGATGCTGAAGACACACCTACATTCAGAATCTAATAAGAAAAGGAAATAATTACTGCCTGTGGGACTAGCGACGGTGAACCAGACTCCGACATGTGACATCATGGGTTGCACACTTTTTGCTCGATTCAAAGTTGACGACTGCTCGCACTTGAAATCCCTCAATAATTCAGGCTGTTGTGTTTGGCGATACAGATTAGCTCCTTACACCCAGTCTTCTCATCGGGACCTTGTATTTGACTGCACGTTTCAATTCATATCCTAACTCGGATCTGTTGATCTTGTCGGATGAATTGTTGTATCTTTAGTAAAATTATCATATCCGGGTGGTTTAAACACTGACAGTGCTAGTGTTTCAGTGGTACACGTGACTGCTTACTTACCTCAGTGGGTCTGGGTTCAATCGCAGCCGAGGACGTTGGGATTTTTGGAAAGGGAAGTACAGTTGTTAGACCCGGCTCATATGCTGATGGGTTCGATATCTAGGCTCCAGGTGTAAAGTTTTCTCGTGCTGGTGTTGGATGATTGGCACTCGCTTTCGGAACATAAACCGAAGAAAAATAAACAAGAATAAACCAGAATAAAAAAATAAATAAAATCGCTGCAACGGTGGTGTAGTGGTAAGCGTGAATGCCTCGTACTCCAAAAGGCCTGGGTTTAATTCCAGTCGACACCGTCGGGATTTTCTGAGTTATAACATCTCTGATCACGCCTTCCTTCGGAAAGGAAGCAAAGCCGTTGATCCCCGGTCCATGAGTTGATGATGATGATGATGATGATGATGGTCCCACCTCTTACCCCTACAAAGGTTTGAGCTGGACGATTTATCTTTAAGATAATTAAATATGACATTTTAACCAGGTTGGCAAACAAAATCGAACTGGTTTCAGTTACAGATATAAATTCCCTCTAGAGTTTACAGTTGCTTCACAGCGATATAAATGTTGAAAAGCTCAGGCGTCCACCTCTTAGTTCGCCTTTTTGTCCACCTAAAATATTCATAAGTATTACAAGCAATCAAGAGTTAATGAACAATCAACAAAGCATCCTATTACACTAGTAACCCCGCAATCTGATGCTATCATAATTTTCAGCAATGTCAGGAATGCTCACAGTTGATGATGGGTCGATAGGTGGGGTCCAGGTGTGGGAGCTGCCTTATATATTTTGAAATTATTATCAGATTGCCCTTGGATTTTTCCTTTGATGTTCCCAGGACTTCTGCTCGGAATTTTCATGCAATAATCGTCAGAAATTTCAATGTGCGTTAATTAACATACACTCTGAATCCAATTCTGGGCTTGCTTGAAATTCTACTCCAAATTATCTCAGGTTTCACATGAAACCTGGAGTTCTTAATCCATACATCTATCTATTCTTGCTCTTCAACCTGTCGCTTTGTCAGCAGAAATTTCCCGCGCCATGTAAACGCTATGTTCCCTGTTTTCAAGAAAGGAGACAAACGCCATTTGGAAAACTACTGTGGGATTTCCTCGCTCGGGGTTGAATCTAAGGTCTTTGAGTCGCTGATAAATGAGAGATTGGATGCTTCCTGCAAGCATTACATAAGTACCTGTCAACATGGCTTCTTTCCTGGCCACTCCTTGGAAACGAATCTCGTCAGCTTTACGTCGTTCTGTATGGAAAATGTTTGCAAGAACCTTCAAGTGGATGCCATCCACACTGTGTACGACGTTCTTTTAGCAAAGCTTGAAACAAATTGATGTTCTGCTTCCTTCTGAAGCTGGCTTAGATCGTACCTCGTGCAACGTGATGTTACTGTACAGACGAGTGCACGGATGGATTTGAGTTCACTCACTCGACAAAAAGTGACACAACAGCGGGGCCCTGTTTACTAAAAATGAACACATGAATAATGCTCGCGTAACTTTTGAAAAGGGCCTATCACCTTTTGTAAACAACTTCCTAGGTCTTTTTCACGAGAACCGAAGTACGCCCACGCAAACCAAGACTATTGGGAAAGGGAGAATTTCCCCTACCCGATGGTGTTGTTAGTTTGCGTGGGCGTATTAAGTTCGCACGAAAAGGGCTTAACAAGTTTTGTGTACAAAAGTTAATAGGCCCGTTTCAAATGATAGGCGAGTATTATTCATGAGTTCATGTTTAGTAAACAGGGCCCAGTCGAGTGAGTGAACTCAAATCCATCCGTGCACTCGTCTATGCATTGGAAACTTCTCATCGTACTGTTTATCGAACAGAGCAGGAGTTCCACAGGGTAGCCCACTTTGAGACCACTGCTCTTCTCTTTATTTGTGAACGATGTAATCTTCATTCTACTACGTGGAGGTAAATTGTTTTTCGCTGATGACTTGAAGATTTACCTAGTCGTTTGAGGCTATGCTGACTGTTTAGAACTACAAAACGTTCTGGAAATCTTTAATAATTGGTGTGAACGTAATTTTATGGTCCTGTGGATCTTAAAGTGGTGGGTGATTAGTTTCCGTCAAACAAGGACTGCCGTTTTGTTTGATCATAACGTTGCTGGGACTGCACTTCAACGTGTCGATCACGTTAAAGACCTTGGTGTCATGTTGGATGAAAAGCTCACGTACACTCGCCACTTCTCAATCACGATCGACGAAGCAAATAGTAAGCTTAGATTCAGGTTCAAGATCTCTAAGGAATCCCGTGATCCTCGGTGTTTTACAGACCTTTACCAACAATCATTACGAAACTAACGATTTTAAATTGGCTCACTACTTGACTAGCCTATTGGTCCCAAGCAAACGATTAACGTACCCCATTCTAGTCGAAATTCTAGTACTACGCAATGTTTGTTTTGATTCGCTATGAAAGTTTGACAGATAAAATGAGGGGTTATTGGTTCTCCTATGTTTCGAGGGGTGAATCGATTAGCTTGGGACCGAAGAGAGTACCAGAGCTGAGCCAAAAAGTTGAGCACGTTATTTCGGGACCTTGTAGTCTTAGAGTTACCTGTATGTCTTTACTGTTCATTGGTACGCTCACTACTACAATTCGTGTGAGTTGTCTGGAATCCCTACCAAGCAGTATGAAGTGCACGATTCGAAGCTGTTCTTCGCAAATTCGTCAGATACGCACTGCGCTATCTTCCTTGGAGTGACCCGCTGAATTTACCACCGTATACTGACCGCTGTCGTTTGCTGGGTTTGTATACTCTTACCGAGCGACAAAACGTATCGAAGGCCGTCTTCGTTGCTAAAGTCTTGCTCGTAGAGTATGATGTTATTGAGTTACTGACCAAAATTAATCTGTATGCTGCCCGAACACTCCGTCCGAGAGCCTTCCTACATGAAGTAGTACATGCAACCAACTATGCTGCAAACAGTTCCTTTTTCGCAAAGCATTTGCGCCGATAGCACTTTCCCAGTCAGGTATTACATTTCGAATGAATTGCACTACTTGGCTGGGAACTGAATTCAAAATATCAATTGCAATAATTTTATCACCAATCGATCAGAAATATGGCTACGCTATACAATGTTTCCGAATGTTAATTTTCAACAAGAAACTATTGAAAAAACTGGTAAATGTCCAGCATTGTCCAAAAGCGTCGAATTAACTAATAAATCCACCAATTACCTACATGCATATGCTGCTTCCCCAGCACAGTCGTCAGAGAGTAGTAAGTAGACGAAACAAGCCGAATTGGCATTCGCCTCCGATCTTCGGAATAGGGAGGATGGAATTGCGTAATATTTTGCACACTCATCGCCATATTCAGAACCAAACGCAAATTCTTCGAGATAACCACCATCCGTCGTCTGACTCGCCGTGGCGGTGTCTGACGTATCTCCGGTCTGATTTACGAGGTGTGCTGAAGGTGTTCCTGAAAAATGGGATCCGTGATGCTGTCACCTACACTAAACACGCCAAGCGGAAGCGGCCATGGATGTCATCTACGTTGTGTAGTGACAGAGACGCACTCTGTTTGGTTTCGGAGGTTAAATCATCACCAACTTTGGCAACAAAACGGCTCTTTTCAGGGCTACCAAGCTTATTACAGAAAAGATTAGGAATAGAATTCATCTGCCTGTTTGTCCATATTCAGAACCAACGATCACACAAAATGCTCATTTAAACAAACTGGAAGCAGGGGTACAAATTATTTTGATCAACCTTGATCAACTTTGAATCGCCACGGCCGGATATTTTCGATGGAAGAAGCAACAATCTAGCATCTAATTCGACGAAGACGGCAGGAAACATTTGTGAAGCCGAGTTATTTACGAAAGAGAGTGTCGATGAAGAGAATCGATCAATGTAGATAGGACCTATTGAAAAGTGACGCGAGATTTGTTTTCCGTACTGAGCTCCAATGCTACCGACGCCAGGGAGGCAGCTCCCAGAGATGTTATGCCTTAAAACATGCCGGTGGCGCCGACTGAGATTGGACCCAGGCCTGCTGGGGTGAGAGATAATCACGCTAACAACCGGCGCCGATATCTATCACGGCGAATGAAAACGACCCAAGTTATCTCAGAAATAATAAATAAGGTACAGGAACTCAGCGATGAGTAAATTTGCCTCATGTTTTCC